CTATTAATGATACATAAATATTAAATTAATTTTAGTACTTTTCTATTTTAGTTTAAACCTAATATATTTGTTGTTGTAAATTATTTTAATACTTTATTTTATTTTTTACCGATGTCAATTATTTTATATAATTTATATTTTCACGATAAATATTATATAAATAATAATTAATTAATTGACACATGTTGGATCCATGTCTAACGTACAGTCAGCGTGCCACGCCAGTTTATAAAGTAGGTTAGAGCACATTTGGACAGGATGACACCGCTTGCCAAGTTTAGGGACCTACGGTGATCACCTTGAAAGTTCAGGGACCGACATAATATTACCGATCAAGTTTAGAGACCTGCGATGATCACCTCAAAAGTTTATGAACCTGGATGACAACTTCTGCCAAATTTAGGAACCAACGGATATTACTTTTGAAGTTCAGTGAGCTGCATGACACTGCCGACCAAGTCTAGGGACGGTGGTAAATTTTGCTCCCGAACAAAATTGGCAAACAAATATGAAGCGCACACAGGCTTGGGCGTTGTTGCATTCTCACAGTCACAATTGGACCTAATGCTGCTTCTTCCAACCGGCGTTTGCATCGCCGGCTCCGGCTCCAGCTCCAGCTCCAGCTCCGAACCCTCCACCGCCGCCCATCCCGAACCCCGGCCGGGCTCCAGACCCTTGGCCCCCGCCAAAACCCTGACCACCGAACCCAAAGACGCCTGAGTTGGACGCTGAGCCGGACGACGAGCTAGACCAGCTAGATGATCCGGCTCCAGAGAAGGAGCCGGAGTTGGAGCCAGAGCCAGAGCCAGAGCCGGCACCAGAACTAGCACCACCAGCATCGGGTCCTGATGAGCCGGACAGTGTGGTTGTGCTAGCACCGGAGTTTGAGCTGGACCATGCGCCCGAGTTCGAGCTTGAGCCGGCGGCGTTCGCGCCGGATTCGGAGCTCGAGCCCGCCGCGGCCGACGATCCTGCGCCTGCTTCTGCCGCGTTGCCCGAGCCGGACGACCCGGCGCTGGAGCCAGACCACGAACTCGATTCAGAGCCAGAGCCAGCAATAGATCCTGCAAAAAGGAATGCGGCAAGAGTTACCTCACAACTCATAACCTGCTACAACTACAACTGCAACCTTTTTCTTCAGCTTCAGCAGGAGATGGTTCCAAAATACGAATGGGTTTTGTTTTCGTTTTCATCCTGCATACACAGCGACGTTTCATTTGAATGACTGAATTCATTTTCCATGCGGCATGTAAAGTATAGTACACTAAACCTGAGCTCGAGCCTGATGCGGCGCTGGAGCCTGAGCCTGACGCCGAGCTAGACATGGAGTTTGATCCACTGCCTGATGCGCTGAATGAGCCAGCGCCTGAGTTTGCACTCGACTCGGAGCCGGAGTTAGAGTTGGAGCTGCTGCTCGCTCCACTAGTAGATGAACCCGAACCTGAAGAGACCAGAGAAAACCCATTCAGAAAAATGTTACACTACGACCAGAAAACTGGTAGTTACACTCTGAACAATCACTTCGTTCTTCGAAACATTAGTAACCTGATGACGAGCCTGATCCGGCCGTAGAGATAGAACCAGGACCAGAACCAGAAGCACCGAAGCCTGAGCCTGTGCTCATGCCAGAACCAGAGCCAGAGTTCGCTGATGATCCCGAGTACGAGCCACCAACCGGGCCGGAACCGGACCTGGACCCTGACCCACATCTCGAACACCCACCGCTTGGCCCAACATTAGGCCCGCCACTGAACCCAGTTGAGCCGCCTAACCCAATCCCTGAGCCCGAACCCGTACCAAAACCGGAAGACCCGCGTCCACGTGAGCGGTACGAGCCTCCGTTCGACCCAGAGCCCAAGCCCGTGCTAGAACCATAATTTGAGCCAGAACCGGTGTTACAATCTGACCCACCACTTGCAGCAACTCCGACACCGACGTTGATCGATGTGCCTAAGCCCACATACCCCGAGCCCAAACTAGACCCTGAGCCCGATCCACAACCAGATGCCGAGCCCGCATTCCCAGCTCCGTAGGTAGAGCTGGAGCCGTAACCATACCCAGAGCCCGTGCCTGACCCGTGACCCGATGCGGTATATGAACCGCCATTTGGACCGGACCAGGCACCGTAACCCGATCCCTGGCCCGAGCTAGATGCTGACCCAGAGCCACCCAGCCCAAGATCAAGCCCAATGCCGAGGCCTCCACCGGCACCAATGCCCAGGCCCAGGTTGCTCCTCACTGGCCTGGCCTTTGCAATGCCTACTGAAACTAGTAGCACAATAACAAGAACAGTAAGAAGAGCAAGAGCTCTGTTGGCCGCCATTGCTGATCAGTGATCACTGATCAAGCTTGTGCCTGTGATGGCTGGATGATGGTATGTTCAGGGAGTGGTCTAGATTTATAGCCGCAGTTTTCGAATAGTGTATTTGCTGCACATGATGCTTACTATAAAAGGTGGCTCGGCTCCTTCACGGGCGCATGTGAAGGTGACCTAATGTTTTGGAGCTTCGCCATTGGCAGCTCATCTTGTCCTAGGGAAGTGACGAGAGACTTGTACGTCTCAATCAGTGATTCAGTGGCCGCCATTGCAAATTTCCTTCCGCTAGAGAGTTCTCAATACTGGGTAGAACTTTCTAGATTGAGCATGCCTCATGTGAAGGCTTTGGTGTCCAAAGTATACTTTGGTTTGTGGCTTGTTTCTAACTAGTAATCGTCATGGGGAAATCAGGTAAGAAGTCACAAAGGTTCCTTCAATCTGCAACCTTATTCAGACAGTGATGAGAAACACATCCTGATTCTAATACAATAAAAAGAATGTTTACTGACACCAATGGTGTTCGACAAATTACTGCAAACACGTCGGATGGAGTTATTGAACATGTGTTATGTATCTGGTTTGAAAGAATTCCTAAACGAGCAAAAAGGTTGCGACTGAGCTGAAAAAACATTCAATGCTACGGATATCATATTCTGAAAAGGTAGTAGTATGACGAGAAAATGCGCTAACCATTGCTTTTTTGGAAAAAGAATACAGAAAATACAAGAAGTTAAAAGGCAAAAAGAGTACAAAGATCTTGAAGCGTGCCAAGTGCACCGGACGGAATCCAAGTGATTGGTGTCGTATTATTGGATGCTGATGTGGAGCCCTTGATCACCACTAATGCAATTAAGGCATAACACTTGGAGCCTAATTTTTGTCTTCAGAGCCACCTACAGAATCAACGTACATTTCGACACCAACTCCTCATTCCTTTACAGCCACTAGCAGAATATTTTGCTTCATTGTACAGTACTACAAGTCGCTGAAGCTGAATCAGACTCTTTTCAGAACGAACTGATATTTGAAACAATTCAGTTAGGATGAGTACATCATGGCAGTCATGAAAGCTCTTCCAGTCCAGGAAAGAAAAACCTACCAGTAGGTTAGTCAACTTGCGGAAGTGTAAAATTGGACTAGCTAATTCTAGGCTCGAATAATTTCGCCGGTAATCTGAGATTTCGAATGTACTCTCAACTTAGTCTCATTGATGTTCGGTTCCCCCTGCACAAGGTCAGATTGTAAATAAGTAGTACTATAACAAATTCAGAATCTACAAGTAGAAAACATACCTCTTGTTTGATTTTCTTCCCAATTGTCATTTGAGCGCCTTGGTATTCAATTGCGTAAGCCTTGGTTTTGCAGAAAGGGCAGCTGCGTTGTTAGCTAAGGACCCAAGATTTGAGACGAAAAAACTGAACAAGCCAATAGTTTCCATCTACAGTATGTATCATTGTGTCTCAACTTAAGGTTACGTGTCTAATACTTCAATCAAACTGAACATTTTTCAGGACTAGCGCCATGCAAGTGTGAAGTGTTGATCATCTCCGAAAATCTAGGTTCAGCAGAAGAAGTTTCTCGCGCGTCGATTGGGAACCTATAATGTACTACAATGCGCATATCAGATGTCAGGCTAACTGTTCAAATCAAAAGTCGCAAAATAGGATCCTTAACAACCCGACTTAGCCATTCTCTATTTAACCCCCCGTGGGGGATGTGCTGGGTGTCTTCTTTTTCTGTGTGTGCCCGGTGGGGCTTTCCGGTCTTCCGGACTTTCATGTACATATAAATTTCTTTCCTTCCTTAATTGAGAGGCAGAGCTTCTGCCAGGTTTTCAAAAAAAAAGTCGCAAAATAGGATACTGGACAGCTTTAGAAGTCTTGGATGGCATCAGCTGTAAGAAGCATTCTGCAGGCAGAAGCAACATGAAGCAATTTAGTGGAGCTTTAATAAGGATATAGCATTCTTCAAGCATGAGGGAAACTGAAGGTGCAAAGTATTTGTAGACAAAACCAAATAGCAATAGGACAATATATATAGTCAGTATAGGAAAAGCAAATGCGTAGAATACTAAAACTGCACATGGTCAGGAACAGCACAGTTACTAATGTCTTTTTGACCTGAATCCGCCTCTTGGGTACTTAGCTACTTTACATGATCATAGTGACTTCTGGCGCTGATGGAAAACACCTCCGCAGATCAATTGAAGTAAATTACAGACATGTGGCAGTATCGCATATAAAGGAAAAAAAAAGAGGTTGACAAGAGCTGGTGCTGTTTTTCCTTTTCTTGAAACGAAAGATATGGCAGGGCTGGTGCTCTTTACTACTATAAGTTGTTTTGTGCAATGTCACTATTGTTAGAAAAAAAATGAAGCCAAATATATAGGACGCTGCTTGCTTCCAAATTCGAAAAGTTAGTAACCCAACAAATATACAGCATCTATCTATCAGTATTGTGGTATCGCTGAAGCCTGAAAAGAAAAGGCATTGAGAAGATGGAAACTCACCAGTGCAGATCCCTTTGCCGCAGCACTTGGATCTATTCAGACTCGGGTAGAACTGCATGGACAGCAAAGAAAAATAAACTATATTAAAAAAGGTGTCACGCGCGCACAGCTACTAAAAAACAGAGGTGCCAATTATCTGAAACAGGGTGCAATTCTGGAGGAACGAGCGATCGATCATACAAAGAAGCAAATGGGGCACTCCTCGGTTAGGCCGTCGCCGGCGTCCTCGGCCGGGTCAAAGCACGGCGCGAGGTCGCCACTGCGGATGAGACGACGCAGGCGGCCGGCGTCAAGGTCGGGTAGCTCGCGGACGAGGCGGCGCGGCCGCGTGAGGCGCTCCTCCACCGCAGGCAGCCGCCGACGGAGCTGCACGCCGGACACAACGTTGCCCATGCCTAGGTGCGCGCGCTTGCGGAGGAAGCCGCGGCGGCAGGAGAGCAGAGACGTTTATAGCCTCGCGGCAGCTGCAGTTCTGCGTGAGCATTGATCGGTGCAGGTGTGGAAGGAGATGAGGATCATGGAGCGTGGGTGGCTGCGCTTTTTGAGCCGAGGAGGCAAAGGAGAAATGGAGGGAGGGAAGCAAGGCATCGTTTGCTTCTTTTTTGAAATGTGTTGGACTTGGACAGCTACGATGATCCCCGTTGCCACCGGGTTGTCTGCCGTAGTGCCGTCGCTGTCCAGAGCTGAAGAGAGTACATGTCGACAAAAACAGAAAAAGTGTACCAGAGCAAAAAGAAGAAACCACCAAAAAATTTCCGTTGCCGGGACTCGAACCCGGGTCTCTCGGGTGAGAGCCGAGTATCCTAACCAGCTAGACTACAACGGAAGCTTGTACTAATCTTCTTCATACTATTATTTATCAATTCAAATATTAAACTTGTTCCGTACATCACCGGTTTACATTGCATTAGTTCAAACATTTGACAGTTCAAGGAATATAAGATAAATCATTAAGTAGAATGATTTGACAATTTGAAATATTTGCTGCTATGGGCCCATGAGGATACTGCTGCTTTGAATGTACTGATGAAGAAATGGAAAACTTTCCGGTTCTGATGATAGATTGCGCTTTCCTACAATCCTACCTAGTCATACAAAAGGTCCACTGCTGTCTTTTTCTCAGCAATAATTTCGATCTGATGTACATATTGAACAAGATATCTGGAGTTCATTTCAAATTGGGATCCCTTTCCTATTCAATACAACAACATATAAGAAGCAAGAAGGGGATAAGCTTCTACTCCCTCCATTCCAAATTATAAGACGTTTTGGTTTTTCTAGATACATAATTTTTGTTATGCATTTGCCTAGATACATAACAAAAACAATGTATCTACAAAAGCCAAACGTCTTATAATTTGGATCGGAGGGACTACTATGATATAACATTACTAGGCACACTTGAGTCATTGACTACCCAATACCTTCCACAAAATGCTCTTTCCTCCTCTAAACTTTTCTAGTTACTTCAGCTGAAGGTTAACTTTCCACCATTTTCAGAAGACAGTTACTTCTGGAAATGCCTTTGCAAACAGTGTGGTCATCCAAACACAAGAACAAACTTCACATACTGAACTTAATTTTTGAACTCTTGGCACAGGTGATTTTCCAAATCATAGCATTAAAATCAGTTGAAAGCAACATCTTCAGTGATCAGAAGTTCCTCTCAATGTGATCAGTAGAGTACAAACTCAAGGATATAAAGCAATAAATGTTTCTGAACACATTGTTATATTGCAGAAATCAAACAGAGCTTGCTCAATCAGCAAGCAGTTGTTTCTAGGCCAAGAACATCAATTTATCATCATTTTGGTCAATGAACTTCCTCTATTCAATAAAAAGTGTTCCGGAACAATTATGCTTGTAGCAGTATACTAACTTGACCCACAGATTATTCAGGCAACACATAACATAACAAGCCTCTTCTATGTGGGTTAACTTATAACTGATAACCGTATGATCTGATATTCAATCACCATAGAAACACTACAAATCATGTTGTGGAAATAGCAATGGAGAACAAGCCAGCGCCACTGGCATGTCACGGCTCTACTTCTTGTTCGAGATGACATTCTCGACATACCATTTGTAGGTTTCGACGAGGCCTTCCTTGAGTGCGATCTTGGGCTTCCACCCCATCCCCTGTATCTTGGAGCTATCCATGAGCTTCCTGGGTGTGCCGTCCGGCTTGCTGGAGTCCCACACCAGGTTCCCCTGGAAGCCGACCACCTCCTTGACTAGCTCGGCAAGCTCCTTGATGGTGACCTCACTCCCACTCCCCACATTGACATGCTCCAGGCCAGAGTACTGATCCATCAAAAAGATGACGCCGTCGGCGAGGTCATCAACGTGCAGGAACTCGCGCAGCGGCGAGCCTGATCCCCAGACGACGACCTCGGGGGCGTTGGTGGCCTTGGCCTCGTGGAAGCGACGGATGAGCGCGGGCAGGACGTGCGAGTTCTCGGGGTGGAAGTTGTCGTGCGGGCCGTAGAGGTTGGTGGGCATGGCGGAGACGGCGTCGAGGCCGTGCTGGATGCGGTAGGCCTGGCACATCTTGATGCCGGCGATCTTGGCGACGGCGTACCACTCGTTGGTGGGCTCGAGCGGGCCGGAGAGGAGCGAGCCCTCCGTGATGGGCTGCGGCGCGAACTTGGGGTAGATGCAGGAGGAGCCGAGGAAGAGGAGCTTGCGGACGGAGCCGCAGCGCAGCGCGGCGTCCACGACGTTGGTCTGGATCTGGAGGTTGGCAGCGATGAAGTCGGCGGGGTAGGTGGAGTTGGCGTGGATGCCGCCGACCTTGGCGGCCGCGAGAACCACGTAGCGCGGGCGCTCGGCGGCGAAGAAGGCCTCGACGTCGGCCTGGCGGGTGAGGTCGAGCTCGGCGTGGGTGCGGACGACGACGGAGGTGAAGCCGAGCGAGAGGAGGCGGCGCACGATGGCGGACCCGACCAAGCCCCGGTGGCCGGCGACGAAGACCTTCGCGTCCTTGTCGGCGAGGAAGGACGGGTGCGGATCTGCGAGGGGGGGAGAGGGGGTCGGAGGTAAGCCCAGCACGGGAGATCGAGCTTGCGGAGGGTGAGGGAGAGGGCGGGATTTACCAGCGGCAGTGACGGTGCCCATGTCGCCGGAGGGTCCGGAGGAGCGGCGGCCGGAGATGCTCGGATACGGATGAGAGTCGCCGCGGTCGCTGGACGGGGGAATTGGGATTTTTAGAGGGCCGTTATTAAGATGGGTTCGTGGGCCGGGTTACGTACATCGAACTGCTCCAGAGTCGAGACTCGAGACTCGAGAGCACAGCTCAGAGCCGTTGACTATTTTTTTTCTAATATCATAGATCAAATTAGTTTCTTTTTCCTTTCTAAGTTTCTTCGTGCATTTCCAGTTTCCAAAAGGCATGGCAGCACTTGGCAGGCTGGCAGAGTGCATGTTTGCTGGGTTTTTTCTTTGTGAAAGTTTAAAATTTCATTGTTTCACAAACAAAATATATATATATGGAGTGAAGATTGCCGAGCGACAATACATTTTGGTGAATAAGCTAATGCCTGACAAAAGAGAAGGCACGAGCTTGGGATTCTAGCATGTTTTTTTTTTTTCAAGTGTGCCAGTTGTTTTGTTTGACGCTCTTCTAATCTTGATAAATGAAAGGTTTCTCTCTCTTGTAATTCAAAAAATAGAAGCCAGAGTGTCCAATGATTTGGGGAGTGCGAAGTGAACCCGCACAAGTAGCCATCGCTACCTCCTGATTATCAGTAGTTGCATTCTAGAAGTTTAGTGACATATACAACCATAGCCGGTTTGGCAAAAAAAAAAAAGGGCATTGTTAGCTCGTTCAGACGCATTTACTAACAGTATTCGAGTGCTCCAATTCTCAAGTTTCAACTGGAGCATGGAATAAGCATCCCGTCATGCGACTACTACGCGAGAAGAGATCAGATCAGGGCCAGAAGCTGTTGCGTGAGGAAGCCAATACTCAGTTAAAGCAGGGCACGTGAGGCCGCGCGGGATCCAAAGAATGTGAAGCGTGCACGCTGCGTTGCTACTTGCACCGCGTTCCTTCGCCGTCAAAAAAATAGGACTATTCCAAGCGTGCACAAGCCCATCTGACACAATCGTTGGCCATAAAAGGCCAGTGCAACATCCAAGATAGGTCCAGCCCGCATCCCACAGCCAGAGGCCCAATGACGATGCCGGCACTGGTCAACTCAGCACCACCGGCGGGCCGCAGGCAGGGTAGGTGTGCTTGGCTGGGCCAGATCGAAGAAGAGGGGCCGGTCGCTGTCGCTTTTGGTCTGGAGAACTCACACATGCTCAGCGTTCAATCCTCCCGCCGTCCCACGTGACCATCGTGCCAGTGTTGATGCTGTATTCGATCCATCGAGAATCAGGCATGGCACTCCTCATCCCGACTCGTGTGGCTGAGGAGCTGACTATTTAACGCGACATTGTCGTCATTGGTCCTTACCGACGCATCATTGCACACTGGTAGAGTGGTAGTATTTTTTTTTTAAGAAAGGACGGCAACCGTGATTTCTATTAAACGAAGAAAGGGAAAAAAAATGCAAGTGTCCATCAAGTTTTTTAAATGAAAACTGGGCTCAAAAATCATACAACCGAAAAGAGTATTCCACTTATCCTACACCACTTTGATACAGCGGACCGAACAACTATCATAACTCACGCCACTACTTGCTCCAACTTGGTCGAAATGACCCAACTAAAACAACTCAACTAAAAACAAAAGATAGAAGAAAAAACACGATGACCAGCTGGAGAGATACCAAACAGCTCAGACGAAAAAGAGAACTACGGAACTGAAAAGCCTAGCCATGCCTCCAAGGAGGAAAAGACGCTAGAAGCGCCGACAAGGTAGCCCGTCATGGGAAGGTTTTCACTGTAACATCCAGTATGGTAGGAGAAGATGTAGAAAAGGATGCCTCAAAGAAGAGAACGGCGTCCGCAAAAATGTCGTCGTCCAGGCTTTCGCCCCAAACTCAAGCATCCTCCAACATCGTCGCTGCCAGAGACCGAACCGCACCAGAGAGGTAGAGTACGGTGATGGATCAGCAGCAACCCCGCCCGACCACCGCCTCTGGAGACGTCGACCAGGAGAATCCCGCCGAGGTGTCCGCCCTCCGCCGAAACCAGCAAAACCTACCAACTCCGCCGCGGAAGCCACAGCCCGAGGAAGAAGGAAGACAAATGGCAGGGAGAAAAGGGCTGGGATCAGAAGAAGCGCCAGTCACCCAGCCCACCAACGATCCAACCCCCAACCCCTGTCGAGCTTGCCCTACATCACCCACACCGCGCACAGCCTCCAGCAACCTCCGCTGGCCCCAAGCCGCCCACTCTGCCATGCCACACAGCCGTCGTCGTTGTAACACCCTAGGTGTTTGGCTTCTACAAAATTGCATTTCATTTCTTAAACATGTGCATCATCTATCTCATCATGCCATTGTCACTGAAACATGCATATGCAACATTCGCAATTATGTTTGTTTCATACTTGATTTCTTGTGAATGGTAGTAGTGCAACATGAGTTTCTTATACCTTGAAACATGGCAACATGGTAGGAATGTGGCAAGTTAAAATTGCAACAAAAATAATGAAACATGTGAAACATGGAATTGCAACATTTGAGTGAATTGCTTGTTTTGTTGCTTCATCACATGTGATCATTAGAAATTGGTATAGCACTTGTGTAAAGTGGTTGATTATGGTCTAATACACCTTAACTACACTTAGGGTAATTGTTTGGACATTGTTCATGTGGACCAAAATGACCAAATTGCCCTTTAGGAGAGGTTTGACTTGAAATGAACCTCAGAGTGACATTGTTTGACTAATTCAAAAGTCCAACTTAGAGATCTTGTATGGTTGTGCACTCTTTACCAAAGTTGTAGCTAATTTATCAAGGAACAAAAGTTGTTTTATGATCAACTCATGAAAATGTGTGGAACAGCCTCAAACATGGCCCACAAGTCATTGTTGATGGTGGATTCAACACTGAAAAATATTTCTAAGTCCTCAAGTGATTTACAGTTTCGTGTACCAATGTTTGGAGGCTTGTATCTCCCTAACCAGGCCGAACCAACTCGAGTTCCAATTGAAGAAGTTGTAGTACTCACTTAGGTCTTCAATTTTGTTAACTATACCATGAACCAGATCGCCACCGTTTGGGAGTTACGGATCGTCGAATTCGCACTGTCAGTCATCGCCATTGAACACTGAATCGAAAATTTCAGAAAACGGTCAGAGCTCGCCGTGGCTGACCGGCGCAGGAGTTGATCACCGCATGGCGCGCATGCTCTGCCGACGCCTCCATGTCGCGCGTCCGAGCTCTAGATGAAAGCCAGCGCCTGCCCGACGCACTCGCCTGCTCCATTTGCACTCTTTTGTCTCCACCGCGCGCAGCGCCGAGCCGCCGCAGCTCCTCCAGTTCCGACCGAGTATCGCCGTTGCTTTGCGCGCTCGCCACTGCAAAAACACGTCGGCCATCTTGCCCCTTGCTTCGCCGTGATCTCCTCTACCACCTCCACCTTTCAGTCGGTCCATTTGAGCCTTGGTAAGGGTGAAATCACCATTTCTTCCACCGCCGCCATGGCGGGACCTTGCCGGAGTTGGCGCTCCACGCGGCCAACTGTCACCGCGACCTTCCCATCCCTTCTCTCCCTTGCACGAGCTTCTGTGAACGCTACTGAAGCTCATAGGGTCACCCACTAGGGCAGTGGTGCTGTCGTCTCGCCGGAGCCGGCCATGCCGTGGCCGTGCGCCGCCATGACCGTCGCCACCCCCTTTAGCTGCGACAATAGCTTCAATAGATGGCACCGTTAGATGCGCATTGATGAGGCTAACGCCGTAGCACCGCTGGACTCGCCGGAGATGCCACCGGCGACGCGTTGCGCCGCCGTCTCTTCTTCCTCCCCTGCCTGTCTCTCTATCGGGCGGGTCCCGTATGCCAGTCGCTGCAGCGGAGGCGGGAGCCAGCCTGGGCCGTGTCGTGGCTGGGCTGCGCTTGCGCATGTGCTGTGGGCCGCCGGGTCTTTTTGGGCCGGCCCAGCAGTAGTTCAGTAGGGTTTCAAATTGTTTTGTTTTATTCTTTTCACAGATTGGTGTATAGATTCAAAAATATGTATCTCCTAGTTGGTAAATTCAAATGATGTGGTTCTCATTTTGCTGAGTTCATGATAATGTCTAGTTTTTATTAAAAATATAATTTATGTTATGTTCTGTTATGAAAAATGGAGTTGCTAATTATCTCTTTTAATCATGAAAGAAATAGGGGTAATTATATCTTTTTCTATGTAGCTCCAAATGACATGAATTTTTTATGGTGTATTGCTCATATCATGAATAGCTTGTAGTTAAATTTTCATATATTTTGGACACTATATATAGGAGATAGAAAATTCTCTTGTTTGTATGGATGGGTCTTGTGTGAATTTTCATAATTTTTCTATAGATCCAGTAAGGGTAAAATTTGGTGAGTGCTGTTCTTATGCTAGAATGATGCTAGGAAAAATAAGAAATCTGTTGCTTGACACTTTTCAATAGGGTTTCCTAATTATGCTAAAATAGACATGCCACCTGTTATTCTGCTTGCCTAATGGCTTTAAAATTTTTATGGTAGTCTATGTGAAGCATGAGATAGCTACTGTAATTTTTGTAGATTTTTCTGAATAGTTTTACTATATATTGTTTTAATCACCTAATTAACTAAATAAATTAGAAAAGGACATTAAATAATTTATTTAGAGGTTGGCACTATACTTTCTGATATTCCTTTGGTATGTGCAACAAGTTGGTAAACTTGGTTTGGTCCAATTAGGCTTTTGCATCATCACTAAATATTTAATTTAGCAACCCTGTCATTTCTGGATAGATTCTAGGTTTACTGGAATTCGATTTGGTTAACGTAAGAATCATACTTTGATGTTTACAAATGATTTGTAGAGAATTTCATAAGCTTTTCAGAATGTCCTCTTGCAAGTCATTTGAATTTATAGAACTCTGGTTATGATTAAATTAAGGAACTACTCGTGTGCATATGAAACTTTAACTGTTGTTTTAAGTATGCCTTTACTATTTCTAAGTTTGTGGTAATGTTCCTAGGTGTTGGGCC